ACAACTGTCATTTCATAACAATAAGTTACAATTTTTCAAAATTAATTAACATTTTTCAATATTGTTTCAACTTATTTCAAAGAGTGCGCTATAATTATGAAACAGTTTTTTATGGTTAGTTTTGTATAAAAAGCCCTATTACCGTTATTTTGTCGTCTTACGCCGAATTTTGATACTTATTACATAAACTGGACTTCGTTCTTGAATTTGCCATCAATCATTTTTTTTTTCTAACTTTATTAATTGTAATAATATAAAAAGAATAAAAACCTTATACAAGGTGCGCTATATTTTTGCGCAGTACTTTATTTACCAAATAACGAAATCCATGCAAAATTTGGCAAAAAAAAAAAAATATATATATATATATTAAGTATATATATATATATATATATATATATATATATATATATATATATATATATATATATATACAAAAATGTATTTTTTTTACGATCGAGTTTAGGTTTTGAATTTGGACCTTATAGGCCAACCAGGGGCCCGGCGGGGGGTCCTCAAATTAGGACACCTCGGCTATGTTAAATTTTTAAAACGATCCTATTTGTTCATTTTTGTTTGAAGAGTTTGAACCAAATTCTAGTTGGTTATTTCGGTGGCGAAAACGCTCAAATATAAAATTTGGCAATATTCATGGAGAATCGACTGAAAATTATAATTTGGCAGCTGCAGATTTCCAATCTCTTTTACTTGGCATATTAAAGGAATATTCACCTGATTGCAATTTTAATGCCGATGAAAGTAGTCTTTATTATAAAGCCTTACCCAACACTACATATTTTAAAAAAGGAGACCAGGCAAAAGGTTGGAAATCACAAAAGTCTCGGCTAACACTTTTATTTGTTTGCAATTCAATTGGCTCCTATAAAGAAGTGTTTTGTATTGGTAAGCCGAAAAAGCCAAGATGTTTTAAAAATAAAAAAAAAAAAAAAATATATATATATACATCTGCTCAAAATAATAGATACACCTCAATGTATTTTTTTTTTTAATTAGAAAAATAATAGTATATTGTAAAATTATAAAACAAATTCAATATTTTTTTAATGTAATGGATTTATGAAAAATATATTTATTTCTTTAATAAACATGAATTTTTATTTTTTTTATATTCACAAAAAATGAATATATACGATTTTCTTTATAAGTGGTATATACAAAAATTTTGTTTATAATCACTTTAGCGATACAGTCATCAATTTTTGTGCAATTAAGGGTAGTGACTATAAGCGAAAAGTACTGTATACGAAAAAAAAACTTATTGAATATTTCAACAATTCTTAAAAATTAACTTTATACATCTAGACTTTGACTTTGGGACTTAAATTTCTTCGTTTTGTTTTTCATTTTTAATTATTGTTATAATATTGTTTATATTTTAAAACTTTATTATAATTTATCTTAGGGTTACTTTATTTTATGCAGAAATGTTGCTTTCATTGTAGTATGTTTTAGCCATATGAAGGCTTTTGTAATTACAGAATATTCAAATAAATAAATTAAAGATCATCTTCGGAAAATCACCCAGATGCTCAAACTAATATCGATATTCATATGTATGTATATAGATCCATCTTATTCGAGTATACTGTTTTTACTTGTTTTGTTATTAATTTTTATTAAATAGAAATTTAATTAATGAATGACAATTTTCAAAATCCCGCTTTTTCAATATATTTTCATTCAAATCCCGCTTTTTAATCACACGGATCCCGCTTTTATTCCAAAACCTTCTGTCCACGTTACTCATTACCAAATATCGATATACATAATAACAAAATTTGGCACAAATATAGCTTTTATATGCAGAAATGTTACTGTAAAAATAATCGGTCCATAGCTCCCACACAAAGTCCCCTCCCTCATCTGAGACCCAACAAAGTATATATATTCTGGGTTCTTATGAAATTCTGAGTCGATTTAGCTATGTCCGTCTGTCTGTCTTGTTAAAACACGCTCACATTAAAACTAAGAAAATGAAATCAACCAAATTCACTGAGAATATTCTTTGTTTTCTTAAGCGGTATGGTATTGAAAATCAGCAATCGGTTCATAGCTTAAAAAGTTATGAGTAAAAATTTCAGACTGCCTCGAAAAAAATTAAATTAAGAATCATACTACCGACTTAGATCTGTATCGGTCCACAATTGGTCAAAGCTCCCATATAAGGTCCACATCCTAAACTCACTTACACAAGCTTAATTCTTTGATAAATAAAGATATCGGGATAAAATTGGACATGAATATGTTTTTTGTATATATGAAGTAGTTCTTTTTTCGGGTCGGTCCATTATTGGTCATATCTCCCATATAAGGTCCACATCCGATAATCACTTAAATGCGCATAATTCATTGATAATAAGGAATTTTTTTCAGTATTGGTCCACTTAATACCACATCATTTATTATTAATCTCGACATGGTTATGTTCTGTGTATAGATAAACTATTATAATTTTTTTTTTCTGAATTGGCCCATTATTGGTCACAGTTCCCATATAGGTTATCGGAAGGATCGGCACATACTAGGTCATAGAATAATCGGTCGGTATCTGAAAATCACTTAATACAAATGTTTCTGGGCCTAATCAAAATTAGTTACATACATGCATAAATAAGTTACAAAATGATAAATAGTATCTTAATTACGGAAACAAAACATATGCCGGGTTTTACAGTTCTCCATAAGGGAAATAAAGTACTTTAGTATTAAAGTACATACTTAAGTAAAATTTCTTTCCTTAGTATAAACTATAAATTCGGGCCTATAATTTTAACCATTTATAACATATTTATATTGGGTTTTAATAAAAATTTGCTTGCAGGTGGAGGGCATTGCCGAATATAGCATTCAATCCTGTTTTTAATTTTTTTTTACGATCGGTCCATATTTGGGCATAGCTTCTATGCAAAGTCATGGGACTATGCAAAGTCCCAATCCAAAAATCACTTAAACGCATAAAGCACTGCTCAAAAATATAGCGCACTTTCTATTTATTATTTTCTCTTTTTATACCATTAAAAAAAAACTTAAGATAAAAAATGTTGTTTGCGGTAAATTAAAGCATATAGGCCAGTTTATTAAAACAATATTGAAATTTATTTTAAAATAGCAAAATAACTGCGCTAGAAAATATTTTACGAAACAAGTCCTTAAATATTGATTCAAAATTATAGCGCATTTATAATCAAATTGGCAATAATATATTCTTATATGAAATGTTTTTCAATATTGGATCTCGGGATGATAAAATACTACTGCCCCTATATTTTAAGACCCATTTGGTCCCAGATGGTATTGAGTTACCAAAGTGTAGCGAACACTTTGGGTTTTTTTTTACCAAATTAATTTTTTAGCATTTTACAATCAATTTATGCAGCTATTCTGAAGACATGAATCTGAAATCAATCAATCATAATATAGTTTATAAACATTTGATAACAATTTAGTCAATGTTATTTGAGAATATTTCCTTGATAGATCCAAAATGTCTAAATTTCGCGCGATAGCATTGAGCGTTTTTAATATTTTAACTAGGCCTATGTTTAAATCGGCACAAAAATATAATAATATTTTCTACAAAAGGTTAAAATTTAGTGATCCTAGTATTTTCATATCCTTAAAAAAGATAATTGGCCAAGAGAAAGGATGCTAAGACTATTTTTATTTAATTAGTATACAAATGTTTAATCAAATCGATGTAATACGATATTAGATATTAACGGATTAGTTCTTAAATTGTTTATATTACATGTGAGGTTTAGCTTGTGTAGAATTAAGCATATTCAGATCACAGTAATGATGTGTTATTATTCCATAGATTAAGATTAAACAGTAGAAGCAAGTTTTTTAAGGCTTTATAGTGAAATTTGATAAAATTATTACAATTTATATAATCACAATCATAAATCTGCCAAAAAGTGACCCATGTTAGAGGGTCGGATTGTTGTTTACCTGGGAAAAAATTTTAAAATGTCATTTGAAGGTTATCTCCAATGTCACTAGATATAATCCTCATTAAAAAAATGGACTATTGACCAATTAGGAGCATATTTTGACATAAAGAAATTTACTAGTACTACAAGACACATATCAGCAAAAATAACCAAAAACAACTGCTTAAAATTTGCCACTTCAAATTAAATAGCATTCAGAAGCATAGACAACTGTCATTTCATAACAATAAGTTACAATTTTTCAAAATTAATTAACATTTTTCAATATTGTTTCAACTTATTTCAAAGAGTGCGCTATAATTATGAAACAGTTTTTTATGGTTAGTTTTGTATAAAAAGCCATATTACCGTTATTTTGTCGTCTTACGCCGAATTTTGATACTTATTACATAAACTGGACTTCGTTCTTGAATTTGCCATCAATCATTTTTTTTTTCTAACTTTATTAATTGTAATAATATAAAAAGAATAAAAACCTTATACAAGGTGCGCTATATTTTTGCGCAGTACTTTATTTACCAAATAACGAAATCCATGCAAAATTTGGCAAAAAAAAAAATATATATATATATATTAAGTATATATATATATATATATATATATATATATATATATATATATATATATATATATATATATATATATATATATACAAAAATGTATTTTTTTTACGATCGGTCTATAATTTTTCATTACTCATTACCAAATAATTATTTTCATAAAAAATTTGGCACAACTATTTGTTTACAAAAATGTTAATAAAATGTCAATAAAATAAAAAATAAAATGTCAATAAGTCTTACGATTCTAACCGATTTAAAATATTAAAATTTTGTCTCTATTAGAAAACATGAGAAAATCATTTTCCATAATAATTTGATCTATTAAAGGGATTAATATAAAAGTAGCTGGTGGAAGGTATTTAAGATTCGGCTCAGCCGAATAAATTTTCTCGGAATATTTTAATAAATATTTTTTGAGGATTTATCGCAAAATGTTTATTTTTTTAATTTGAATATTTTTCAGTCGACTTTAAGGAAAAAAGGCAGAAACAGTACATAACGTCATGTCTTCGAGTTTATCCAACGGAGAACATATTAAGTCTAATGTAGAGCAATTGGATCATCAGAAAAAGGAGCAAGTGGATCATCTGAAAGAAATGACCAAACAATGTAATAAACAGTTATATGCTGATGATGACAGTATCAATAACATTAGTGCGTTCAAGAAGAAAACTAAAACCAAAAAAAGTAAGAAAGGCGAAACAGACAAGCAAAATATTTCAGTGGTAAGTTTAATAAGTAATGAAATTCATCCTATTATTAAAAAATTATTCTTTTTTTAGAAATCGAGTTTTAGTAAATTTGATGCTTTACAGAAGCGAAATCTAATTCATGTACGTTCTATTGATGCTAGTACTGCACAAGAAAAATTCAGTGTAAGATTTCATTAATATCATGCATTTATTAACTAATTTCATTACATAGTGAGCCTGTGGTAGCCAGTTGTTCTATTAACACAAAAACTTTATTTGTGTCATTTACCCTTCAACTTCATAAGAAAGGTATACATTAGAGTGGGTCGGTATGGAAAAAATAAAAACTTCACTCGGTCACCCCTAGAATTAAATATATGTATGTTAATAACATTTCCAAAAATACAAACATATTTTTTTTTGTTTTTATATACTACGCTGCCATTTTTGTCCAATCGTAACATATAGTATATTAATGTGTATACATTTCACTTTTAGACAAATTCGACGTCATATTCTATGCGCGACATCTGATATATCGGATTTTTCCGATATTCTTTTAAAATCCTCACTTTTATAGATAAACGGCACATTCTTATTGTTAATCGGCATAAGAAACCATGTGGCTCTTAAATTTTAGGTATAATATGTGTTCAGCAAATTTATGTAAAATATTATGCAGAACATTTTTGTAGAATATATTAACCTTTTAATGGTATACGCACAATTGGGACGAACGACGAATTTCGTATAGCACGACGAACTAGTCGACAAAAATTCGTTGCGTAAATTCGTCGAATGGAACACAATCAAATTATTCGTACTGCGAATTCGTTTCTAAATTTTGTTTGTTCGAAATTGAAAAAGTAAAAAAAGGAACAAAAATTATATTTTTGTGAATTTCAACGATTTTGAGATAATTTTAACAGCTTTAAAATTTATTCGAACATTATTTCGAAATTAGAAAAAGTAAGAAATTGGCCTCGAAAAGAACTAAAATTATATTTTTGTGAATATCCCCAATTTTGAGATTATTTTAACACCTTCAAAATTTTTTCGAACATTACTTCGAATTTTCGAACTTAATTTTAAATATTCCAACTTAGCATTGTAGTGTCATCAAGTGTACTCTAGACTGCCAAATTTCAGACAATTCGGGCCACGAGAACTGAATTTAATGGCTTTAAAAATTTTTCGAACTTAAGTTCGAATTTTCGAAAATTTTATTTCTAGTTTTTATGACCCAGATTTTATTTTAAGAGCATAACAAATTTTTCGAACATAACTTCGAATTTTCGAATATAATTTCGAATATTCGAACATAATATTGTATTGTCATTAGCTGTACTCACAACCAGGGTTTCAAAAAACTGCTAATTGCAGTCGCAAATTACTAAATATTTGACTAAATTTAGTACCATGCTTAAAAAATAGTAACTCGTTAAAATTTCCCCTTACAAGCTAACTGAAGTCAGTCAACTGTGTCAACACATTGCTGCAATAACTTTCAAGTGGTTTTGTTTTTCTTCAGCAGCCACACACACAAGCAGCGGCCATGTTAAGTTTTTCAAATCAGCCGAACTGAACACAATGACTGAACAGTAAAAACAGTTTTGCGTGTGCTGCTTACGTATTGCTTAGTTCTTGGTTTCGTTTTCTTTCTAAGGGACGTAAAAAAACTGATAGTTTGACTGGTTAGTACAAATCAAGCCGACTGAACAATAAAACTTGATGTGTTGTTTGTTCATTAAGACTTTGTTATTGTATGCAATTTGTTTTAGTACATTGTATATTTTTGTGTTTAAAGTTGACAAAAGTAAACAAAGTAATTGATAATTATTGCTAATAGAAATTGTTAATTAATTTAAAATTTATAAAATTATAAATTACTCTACTTATAAATTTAGATATTTTCTTTAAATAAAAATTGATTTAAATTTAAGCATTTTGATGATTTTTTAGTGAGATTTTGTTATTGTATGTATGTATGTATATTAGGGTGGGTCGAAAATAGGCTTTTCGCTCGGATCAACATCTAATAGTGAAATTATGTTGTATTTTAACGTCAAATGGAAGACTGTAAAATATTATTCAATTATTTTGAGGGTAAGAGCCCGCGCATCGCCGCTAAAGTTTGTAAATGCGTTTATATGGGAAAAATGGCACTTTTTGGAGTATTTTCACAAAATGATGCTTTAAGTATTAATTATTGCACCATTTTATAGCAAAATCGTAATGTCTACAAAATTTTTTTTCCAAAAAGATGGAAAAACTCAAAATTGGTTAAACAAATTTTGAGCTATTAAAATTTCCCCCGAGAATTTTGTGATTCTGAAGACATATAAAAGTAAATATAAGAAAATTTTTGTTAGTTTTGAAAAATTTTACAAAAAAATATTATGTTTATCTTTATAAGGTTCATAAATGTGCTAGTACGAATTTTTGTTCAAATTGGATAACGCTTACTCGGGCCATTATTTTAAAAGCATCTCCAAAACTCCATTTTCAAACTTTAAAAAATTTTGTTAAATGGATTATTAAAAATTTAAGTTTTCTATGCTATATATTATAAAGGATATATATATAAGAATTAAACACAGAAAGAATGAGCTTAATACCTCTCATAGTTTTACCGTACCTGCGATGTGAATTTGAAGGATTTCGGGAAAAAGGCAATTTTTGCCAATAATTAAGTAAAAATTATATTATTACCAATTGTTGCTTAATTTTGATCAAGTAAATTGCGATTATTATTTCCGAGTCCATGGAAAGTTAGTTCTGATCAAATTTCCGAAACTAAAAATTATTAACCCTCTAAACACCGGGGTCAAAATCAAAATTTTAAATATTTTATGTTCTTGAAGAAATAAGAGCATGATGTTGTTAATTTGTTGATGGATATCGATGAAACTTCTTAGAAGTTATTTTTACTATATTCAAATAATACGATAAACCAAATACTGGATATATATCCATTAATTCTTTAAGAAAATTAATTTTAAAAAATTCCTTTTTAAAAGTGTTTTTTGTAGTGTTTAAAAAAATCGGTCTTGAATTGACCCCAAGTATGACAGAGGGTTAATTTTTGAAGAAGTTTGATTCCTAGATCTCTGGATATATTTTCGTGTGGTTTGTCAAAATGAATTCATAATTAAATACACAATATTTTGCTGTTTTTAATGAAGAATATTAAATATACAAAAACTTGATTTTGACCCCGGCTTTTAGAGGGTTAATGATTTTTAATTTCGGAAATTTTATCAGAAACAACTTTTCATGGACTCTGAAATAACAATCGCAATTTAATTGATCAAAATTAAGCAACAATTGGTAATAATATAATTTTTACTTAATTAATGGCAAAAACTGCCTTTTTCCCGAAATCATTCAATTTCACATCGCAGGTACGGTAAAACTATGAGAGGTATTGAGCTCATTCTTTCTGTGTTTAATTCTTATATATATCCTTTATAATATCCAGTATATAAAACTTTAATTTTTAATAATCCATTTAACAAAATTTTTTAAAGTTTGAAAATGGAGTTTTGGAGATGCTGTTAAAATAATGGCCCTTTTTTGACCACAGACTAAACCGAGTAAGCGTTATCCAATTTGAACAAAAATTCGTACTAGCACATTTATGAACATTATAAAGATAAACATAATATTTTTTTGTAAAATTTTTCAAAACTAACAAAAATTTTCTTATATTTACTTTTATATGTCTTCAGAATCACAAAATTCTAGGGGGAAATTTTAATAACTCAAAATTTGTTTAACCAATTTTGAGTTTTTCCATCTTTTTGGAAAGACAATTTTGTAGACATTACGATTTTGCTATAAAATGGTGCAATAATTAATACTTAAAGCCTCATTTTGTGAAAAAACTCCAAAAAGTGCCATTTTTCCCATATAAACGCATTTACAAACTTTGGCGGCGATGCGCGGGCTCTTACCCTCAAAATAATTGAATAATATTTTACAGTCTTCCATTTGACGTTAAAATACAACATAATTTCACTATTAGATGTTGATCCGAGCGAAAAGCCTATTTTCGACCCACCCTAAAATACATACAATAACAAAATCTCACTAAAAAATCATCAAAATGCTTAAATTTAAATCAATTTTTATTTAAAGAAAATATCTAAATTTATAAGTATAGTAATTTATAATTTTATAAATTTTAAATTAATTAACAATTTCTATTAGCAATAATTATCAATTACTTTATTTACTTTTGTCAACTTTAAACACAAAAACATACAATATACTAAAACAAATTGCATACAATAACAAAGTCTTACTGAACAAACAACCCATCAAGTTTTATTGTTCAGTCGGCTTGATTTGTACAAACTATCAGTTTTTTTACGTCCCTTAGTAAGAAAACGAAACCAAGAACCAGCAATACGTAAGCAGCACACGCAAATCTGTTTTTTCTGTTCAGTCGTTGTGTTCAGTTCGGCTGAGTTGAAAAACTTAACATGGCCGCTGCTTGTGTGTGTGGCTGCTGAAGAAAAACAAAACCACTTGCAAGTTATTGCAGCAGTGCGTTGACACAGTTGACTGACTTCAGTTAGCTTGTGAGGGAAAAATAAATACTTGAACTTTCTTCAGTTCAGTCGACATTTAAAAAAATAAAACTAAAAACTAAATAATAAACCCTGCTCACAACCGCCAAATTTCAGCAAATTCGAGCTACCGGAATTGGTTTTAAAACAATTTTCCCCAATTAATTCGTCGTTCGTCTGCTTAAGAAATAGAAATAAACCTATCGCATAGTTCTTTACGTACGACGAATTTCGTCATACGCAATGATTGTGTACATTTTCATATACCCAAGTGTGTTCTATTGCTGACGGCGAATATTCGTTCCGAAAAATTCGACGTTCGTCCCAATTGTGTGTATACTATAACTCCTCAAGGTATGGGAATTTTTTGTCCTTCTTTTAAAAAAAGAGCAAAAACACTATTAAACACCGTGTTTCGCAAAGAGAGATCAGGTTTAATTTCCGGAATTTCTTTAAAAGAAATATATTAATATATATTACTAATATATTAGTAACCACTTGCAGAAAAATACACATTTCTATCAATATAATACTAAAAATATTTTAACATCTTCACATTTTAATATTACTGCAACTAAAAATTGCAACATTCTATTATAATATTCAATC